TTGTGTTACGACAAGAGCGAAGATGACAACAATCTGGAGACAGTTCTTAAGAAGTTCAGTGAATACTGCGAAGGCCAAACAAACGAGACATTTCAACGCTACCTCTTCTTTTCGCGGAACAGGCGGCCAAGTGAATCCGTTGACACGTACGTCACTGAGCTAAAGATTTTGGCCCGATCCTGCAGTTTCTGTAAATGCATGGCGGACAGTCTCATACGGGACTGCATTGTTCTTGGGAGCAATGACGAAGGTTTGACGAAGCGACTATTACGAAAGCGCAACCTATCTCTGCAGCAATGTATCGACATCTGTAACAGTGGGTCCCCCACTGCTTATCTGTTCCAGCAGATGATAATCACAGGTGATTCAGAGGTGTGCGCCGTTTCCAGGAGCAAAACTACGAGGGCCACGACCGCGCGACAGGAGCCCTGCAACTTCTGTGCAACACGACATCCGAGGAACCGCGAACAGTGTCCGGCGTGGGGCCGCATTTGTGTCAAATGTGGGAAGCGCAAGCACTTCGCCCGCTGCTGTCAGTCGACAGATGTCAGTGCACTCGTTCCAGACAAATCAACAGAAGACACCGAACAATCGATTGGTAACGTGTCTCGGAAATCGTCGCAAAAGTGTGTCTATGCAAGTCTTCTGATCGAAAGACGGTCTGTGCGATTCCAGTTAGACACAGGCGCGACGGTCAATATTTTGCCCAGAAAGCACTGCCGCGGCGTGCAAGTTCAATCGGATCAAGATTATTTGCGCATGTGGAATGGTTCCAGACTCAAGCCAAATGGCTCAGCGACAATTGAAGTGGTCAATCCGAGAGACGGTGTTTCGCATCGTCTGCAGTTCGTGATCGTGGATGAGGATCTCACACCGATTCTCGGCATTGATTCGAGTTTATCTCTTGGCTTTGTCATTTTTAACCATGATCGTTTTGTGTATGCTTGTCAGAGTGAAGCCGATGTTAGTGGCCTGTATCCGTCTGTGTTTAGCCCGGGTTTAGGGGAATTTGAGGGTACCGCTCACCTGTCGTTAGATCCTTTGGTACGCCCGATTGCGTTAACTGCTAGGAGAGTCCCATTTGCGCTACGTGACCGATTTTCCGCGGAATTGAACAAGCTGGTTATGCAGGATGTGATTGCAAAGGTTGATGAGCCAACAGACTGGGTTAGCCAGGTCGCAGTCATTACGAAGAAAAATGGCGAACTACGCGTATGTATAGAGCTGAAGCCACTGAATAAGGCCCTGCGTAGAGAACATTATGCACTACCGACGTTAGAAGATGTTTTACCACGTTTGACAAAAGCTAAGATGTTTACAAAAGTAGACCTTTCTTCCGCATTCTGGCATGTTGTTCTAGACGACGAATCCAGTTTCCTCACCACATTTGCTACACCGTTCGGACGTTATCGTTGGCTACGATTACTGTTTGGCCTGAAGGTGTCTAGCGAAATTTTCCAAAGGCGTTTGGTGCAAGCAATAGATGATTTAGATGGCGTAACCTGTGTGGCAGATGACGTTCTGATTTACGGTTCTACCGAAGAAGAGCATGACACTAAGCTACACCGGTTCCTGAGGCTTTGCGTGCAAAAGAACATCAAGCTAAAACGCGAGAAAGTAGAGCTGCGGAAAGAGGTGATTTTCCATGGGCATGTGTTAACATCCGACGGAATCAGGGTTGACCCAGGAAAGATTAAGGCGATACAAGGGATGCCGTCCCCTAACGATGTGAAGGCAGTCCATCGCCTAAACGGTATGGTGAATTATTTAAGCCGGTTCCTACCAGGACTCGCTGATGTCCTGACTCCGATTAGGCAGTTAACTCACAAAGGAGTAAATTGGAGCTGGGGGAAGGAACAGGGTTTGGCTTTCGCAACCATTAAGAACCTTATCAGTAATACGCCCGTACTCGGATATTACGATCCAGCACAACCATTGGAGGTACAGTGTGATAGTAGCCAGAGTGGAGTAGGTGCTGTTCTGTTGCAGAACGGAAGACCTTTGAATTTCCGCAGTCAAGCACTCACAGAGGCCGAGAAGCGGTATTCACAGATCGGGAAAGAGATGCTGGCAGTGGTCTATGCCATGGAGCGTTTCAATGATTATACTTTTGGAAGAAAGACAACCGTGTACACTGATCATAAGCCGCTGGTGTCGATAGCCAGTAAACCACTGAATAAGGTTCCTCGCCGTCTGCAGCGTATGCTTATCTGGCTCCAAAAGTATGACATTGACATTGTGTACACACCTGGCACACAGATGTTCATCGCGGACACCCTGTCGAGAGCACATCCGCCAGTGGCCGAACATCATCTAGAAGAGATCGAGACAGTTAGCATGGTGCAGCATCTGGCAGTGACAGAAAACCGTTTGAAAGACATAAGGCATTTCACGGAGGAATACCAAATTTTTGCAGCTTTACGAGACGTTATCCTCAATGGGTGGCCAGAAACAAAGAAGCAGCTCCCGAAGGAATTAACACCGTACTTCAATTTTCGGGACGAACTCACTGTCTGTGACGGTCTGTTGTTCAAGGGAAATCGAATCCTAATCCCTTCTTCTCTCCGAAAGGAGATGCTGGAGCATGTCCATCGCGCTCACCTGGGTGAAAATTACACCATTAATCGAGCAAGGGAACTGATGTTCTGGCCAGGAATGACAGGTCAGATCAAGGATCATGTGTCTAACTGTGGGGCGTGCCGTTCACAAGACATTCGGCAAACGAAGGAACCGATGATGTTGCATGACGTTCCGGACCGACCGTGGCAAACGGTAGCAGTGGATCTATTCTGGGACGACGAAAAGGGTTACTTACTCACGGTGGACTACTATAGTGATTACTTTGAAATCGATTTACTCACCAGCACGACCACGGAGGCAGTAATCAACAAACTCAGATGTCAATTCGCACGGCACGGGATACCGCAGGAGCTAGTCTCGGACAACGCTCCCCAGTTCAGCAGCAGGGATTCCAGGCTTTCGCAACCAAATAGGAATTCGCACACCGGCAAACCAGTCCCTATCACAGTCAATCAAATGGGAAGGCAGAGTCGGCAGTGAAGCAAGCCAAGCGACTATTAGCGAAGGCTAGAGATACTCGGGAGGACCCATACTTCATGCTACTGGAGAGTCGCAACACTCCTTCAACGGATATCGGCCTGAGCCCAGTGCAGCGCCTATACAGTCGAAGGACCAGAACTGTGATGCCTGCATCCGCAACACTTCTGCGCCCTGTCACGCCACAAATTGAGAAAGTAAAGAACAGTTTGAAAAGGCGAATGACTACTCAGAAACGGTACTACGACAACGACGAACGGGAATTACCTGAGCTGACAGTGGGGGAAGAAGTATGGGTTGAACCAATTCCCGATGGACAGGAGCGGTGGAGAAAAGGAGTCGTGGCTGCGAAAGTCGGTGAAAGGTCATACGAAGTAAATGTTGGAGGAAAGAAGCTGAGAAGAAACCGAGTACAGTTGAGGAGATGTCCGAGGCGACAGCGTGAATCAGGGAGAGAGCCTTATACTTCGTGCAGCAATGAGGCGACATCGGCAGATCCAACAAAGAGGACGCGGAGTGGTAAAGCGTATGGACTATTTAGCAAAGTACAGCAGCAAGAACATGAAAAAGGGAGGATGTGATGGGAGTATACACTTGAACGAACGTGCGGTGACAGCCCAGCAAGGAAGCCGTTAGGTTGCCTCAAGGAAAGGCGGCAGCTGATTGGGACGTTCACACGCTTCTCGCATGAACGCTGATTGGCCAACAGTGGACGCATTAGAGTAAGTTTGTTTGACTGAATCACAGGAAAATGTCATGCATTCAAAAGGTCGTTAATTATGGATCCAACTAGCTGTATATACCGATATGCTTCACTCGCCCTCTGCCTGCTTTTTCGCCTGGTCCGTTGTTTGCAGAATATACGTTTTGTCCCTGAAGGACCGACTTTTAAATGTTTACATCGCTTCTGTCGACAATCGCCAAATGAGGCATAACGTTGGAATCTAATTTATCCTTTGCTGCATACGATACCTCTCAGCGCAAGGCTGTTGATCAAATTGGAACACCCAACTATATCCAGAGTATGCCTCAGTTCGCATCCACATAGCGTTCGTTACCATAACTTAGCCCCTTCGTGCACAATGTGCACATGGGTACACTGCATAAAAATTCATGCTTAAATTTTATGTATAAATTTGCACATACTCTCATAAGCATAAGTGATAATGAAAGATCAAAATCTGTCGTTTACTATATTAAGAAACCTGGTACATCACTACTAACACAAACAGTAGATTTTTGCCTTCTCTACAATTATTTTAAACGGTACTAGCCGATAGTCCTTCGAATACTTCGAGTCTGTGAGGGTGAGCCGGCTACTCTCGCTAAACTATTAGTTGCCTTGCGCTTCTCCACTTCAAATAATCTGGTTACGTTGCATCGCCGCACAATAGCCGATGTTCCTCCCATCTCTAGCTAACGTGTAAAATGATGAATTATGTTATAGTATTAACAGCTAACAAAGTTAGGAACGGGGAAAATAATGGAATGTTCGCAATAGAGAAAAACGTTTTCTCAGCCAATTCGATATACAAAGCTGATAAGGTGTTACCTGTAGTGAAGCTAGTGGTGCTTTTGGACCAATAATATCTACCGTGGTTAGCATATAGCTTGGGATAATACGTTACATTCTCGTTCCAGCGGATGGGCAAGTTAAGATTACAGGACAGACCGTCGGTATGATGTGCATCATATACAATCTAGCCCAGCTGGTCTCGATAAAAACTGGTGTCCACTAACATCAAAAGGTTGTGTCGAATGGAAAGTCGTCAGCTTATGCTAACTGGTCGGCATCAGGTGTGGAGATTATTATCCTTACAAACTAAGACGAATGGCAAATGCGCGTGATGGTGACGAGGAAGGTGAACAACTGATTTAACAGTTCAACTGGCCGATTGTAGTCCGAGCAGTATGGTACAATAGATTAATCTGCCATAACTTACGGTATCGCGGTGGGACTAAAACGCTGATAGCAGGAGTTCCCGCCGAGTGACCGATTTCAGTCTGATCTCAATCTGATGGCCGTCCAGAAAGGCTACAACGGAACAAATTGCGGATGGAAATCGAACAGTCAAAAATTGGCAACACTAACTCGTGCCGTATTTCATCGATACCAAATACCAATACTTTCTGACTGGTTCGTCTTAGCGATTGTTCAGACAACATTTGGCATAGTAAAAACCTACAGAACACATTTAAAGTGCCTAAAATATTTGAGGTAAGAAATATGTATTGCACAGGAGCAGTCCAAACGGGATAATGATAAAGCAATGTGACAAACAATGCTAGGCACGATTTTCGCATCTGCCCAACCCTTTCATTTCATATTTTAAAGCCTTCGTTTCCCACACAGATATTTCACTCCGATATCTGACGAAAATCGGACACTAAGAAAAATTCGCAAAATTTATAATCGTGGCCATCTATTCGCAAAACTTTTTATTATGCATTGCGGAATAATTCTAATCTTTGAGACAGCATTTGCAATAGCTTATAGCGGCATCAAGTGCCTTTGTTTCTCATATACCGATTTCAATAAGGAAGCGGACGGAAAGCGGAGAGTTGACCGCCCAATGGTGCTATTATTGTAAATAACGATAGAAGAGAATGAAGAAAACGCAAACCAAAGTACAAATATTATCTCAAAGAAGAGATCCGAAATGAGTTCGACGAGATCCTACCGGAAATAGAGGGGATGCGACTTGAGCTGGTACTGCCAAAGCTGAATATGGTGTGTGAACCAGACGACCCTCCATCATCGTTGCTGGATGACGGTCACGGCTCACAAGTAACTATCTCGTCAGTTCTGTTCAAAACTATTTTATGTAACGGAGTACTGCCTTCTGATTGGTGGCTAAAAGGAGTAATTACCATGTCCAAAAAATTCAAAGAGCTTTCTGCGAAAATCGCCGTGCAATTAGTTTTATCTTTCTTGCCACAAAGCAGATAATATTAATCATGTTGCGGCGGCTCGCAGACAATAGAGAGGGACGGAGCTTGCTGTCGACCCAGTACAGAGAACATTTACATACTTGCTCCAACTTATACCTGAACATCATAGTTCTTACAAACAACCTAGCATGGTAGCCCTTCTTGACTTCAAGGCTGCATCTGATCCTATCGAACAGAGACGAGTGTATTTTACAGGTGACAGCAAACCGTTAGTGTGCTGTTACATGATTTTTATCGGATTAGAAACGTCTAGTGTTCACCAAAATAGAGAACGTTCCACTATCCCAAGGATGGCTCGATAGCAGACAGTGCACTGGTTCAGTAAACCATTTACATAAATAGCTAAGAAATATTAGTCGATAGGTCAACGCCGCATCATCAATTAAGGTACTGTGAACCACGCTGGCCGCGCTCCACCCAAGGAATACTTATTGATGCTTGCTACGAGTGCTATAGTTATCCGGTGGCCGTCACGGAGTATTCTAAGAGGCTTTCACGCGTCAACAACATAAACTACCCAGTAGAAGTATGCTTCTCGGGTGCTGTACTAATAAAAATTAGTTACTTTGAACTAAAAGCTAACTCCTAACAGATGGCAGTTGAACTGTTCGCTGAACTTGGCAATTTGGCTGCAACCAACTCGCCAAACTCAGCGAACAGTTCAACTGCCATCTGAACAACCTGAGCTACCAATCTTCAATTCTATAAATCCTAACAGATGAAAGGTCTGTCAGAAGACTTCATGAAGATCATATAGTTATCGGTCGGTGGCCGAGTGGTCTGCGCGCCTGGTTTGCATCCATATCACCGATTCGAATCCGCGTAGGGGCAGGCGTATACTCAACCCACGCGCGACTGGTGGTGGTCGCGTGGCAGCGAAGCGCCGTTACGACGTACAGCTGGCGATTTACTTTTACTTTGACCAGGTATTTAAGCACAATAAATAATATACGCTCTGTGAATGGGATGGATAATAAAGCGTACCGTCTCGGACTAAAAGCATTTAGGTGTGAAGGTCAGTTACACAGTATTGTGCATGCATCCGTTTCCGCTCAGCATGTGACCGAGTTGGGTGTCCAGGTCCAAAGGAGACACATTTCGGTTGCATATCGGTGACCCAAAAGAATCGTCTGTGACTTTCTGTACCCAGTAGTGCATCATGGTGTACTTAAAAACGATCTCTGCTATGCGCGGACGTTATTTATATCAAAAAGAGCACAACCATTACACCGGCACGCCATATCAACGGCTTACTGCTGCGCAACCACCACCGCGATGTCGTCCGCATTTACTCGGATTCGAACCGGTTACCGGATAATAAAGGAGACGCCTAATATTTCCGGTCACCGGCTGATGGCCCGAGAATTGCAAACACGACATGTCTGAAGGCTATGTTAAAAAACGTTTTCTAAGTAACCGCCATGTGGCAGAAAAAGAAAGGCAGCAGTACGCTGGCACATCGTACCGACGTTTCGATGGCAAGCGGCCACCACCAGTCAAGCGTGGACTGGGTATATCGTGAAGACGCCTGCAGCTACGCAGATTGAAACCAGTGACCTGATTGCAGGGCATGCGCGTAATCCTTTTGGCAATTGGCCGGCACTCATTTCGTCAAATCGTGTCTTACTAGGTTGACGATGGGCACACAAAGCAGGAACTCAGGACATTTCGAAAGTGACGTTAATTAGTTGTTGTTGCTCTATACATCAATCGGTCACTCGCAAGTTTATTAAAAAGAGATTTAAGGCTCCCAGCACAGCTGTAAGATCGTCCATCCTATTTACCGCCACTCGAGGAAAAATGTTAGCAAAAAACCAAACCGCGCGAAGTATCTAGCTATGGCATTGCACACTATAATACCTCGTTTACACTACCCGTCTTAACTCATGGATCGTTTCCTTTAAAATCGCGTGCATGTACAGGTGGAAAATTGATATACACGATGGCGACCGTCGGAGCACACCAAATCATCGCTTTATGTGCTCCTCGTACCAATATAACATCCACGAATTTCGGTCATTTAAAAATCGCAGTGTGGTCTTAACATATTGCGATTGCACATTTGCTAGTTGCAAATGCCAGCAAAGCTTAGCGGTAATGGATTCCTGTAGTTTCACAGCGTAAGGCTACAGTCATAATGTATCTATCAGAGGTGGCCACGGGCTTGCTAATCGGTCTCAGCGGTAGCTTTTCGCTCAATCGTAATGGCTGCATGCAGGATTTTATTGAAACTGAGCGAACTGCGTGTTAAGACTAGCAGTATTGACGACGAATTTTAATGTATAATATTTACACTTCAAAAAATACCAAAAGGCAAAAATAATTTAAGGACATGGCAGTCAGGTTTGCTCTTGCTATCCGCCAAATATTTCGCGTATTAATTTGAGAAGGCGTAATGACAAACGGACAAGAAACAGGCAACCTATTTCTTCTAGTTGCAGCAAATACATTTGCTGTTCTATGTTGGATGCTAAAACTTCCGTAGATATCAAGCCAGCACGGGTGCTTCCGTCACACAGTAATTTTATTCTTCTGCACCGCATCGTAATACCGTCATACGTTATCCATCAGGTTTGCACGGTAACCCAGTAGGTCGTAAACATGCTGCGAGAGCGCTTCGTGTAGTGAGAGTGGAAAACATTCTATTTTCCCGTAAAATGTATATCTATCGTTATCGTTATCCTGCAACGCAGTAGTATTAGTGTAATTGATTAACCTAAACCCATGAGAGTTTACAAAGCGACGCTTTACTTGTTAACATATTATTCCGACAACTAAATGTCATTCGATGCCCAAACAAACATATCCACCTCCCAACTCGACATAATATTTGAGGGCTTGCCTGTTTTTTTGAAATAATTATTAAAATAGTTGCTATTGGACTTTGTACACGACGGTGGTGCTAAAAACTTACCACACATCGCTAAACATGCAATGAAATATTTACTGACTTTTGTATTAGTGCTGTTCCAGCCTTTAAAGAAAGTAAAAGTTTGCAAATAATAAGTGAGTCTCTAGCTCTGTGTTTAAAGATTTGGTGGCATACAGTTTTACTATAAAACTTGCCTTTTAACCGGAAGTAAAATCTTAAGCGATGGTCTCAGAATACAACAATAAACGCTCGGCTGCAGCGCGCTGTACGAATTATGGAGATATATTCAATCTCACGTTCAAGCTGCAGCATGATTTCGCCCGGTGGTGCACAGCTTTTGTCAGCAAGTAACAAAAGGATGGTCACCAAGGTACGCCTTGATACCTTTCAAGACCAGTTGTGTGCAACGGGCCTCGCGCTTGCTAATACAAGCTGCTTTATCATCATAAAGATACTTCCTTAGGAGTCTCAAACGGACAGCCTAAATTTTGCGGTGATACAAACTGTAGGCAGTAGGTTTAGACTTGCTGCGACAGAGCAATTTTGGATAACGCAGTTTTGTTACTTGGTTGGTGTATCAAGTGATGATGGCCTATCAACCGCATTACATGCTCAGTTTTCCAGCGCAGTGCTCCAAAACATTTCAGGCTCTACATTAGTGGATTCATGCATAAGAATGTGGATGATAGAAAAATCTGGATGCAAACATACCCGTCACCTGAGAACAAATACGGACAAAGTGTCCATGTTTGCCTTTGTCAAAAGGCTGCGTTGTTGGACTCGTATCTTCTCCAAAATAACTTTGAGACATTCAGTCACCAAGTTCTCTTTAACGTCCGTCTAATGCAAGAATAAAGATTACCTGTTGTACACCTTGTCACTAAGGCTGCGTATGCTTTGCTGGTGATGCATCCGCTGCAGAGCTTAAGTGCTGTTTCAGTTCTATTTGGATTACCAACTGCTTCGACTTCAGCAGACGAATTATTTCTCCCTGAAACACCGACGTGATTGTGGGGCTCCTAGGTACATTAGATGCACTTATAGGAGAACTGTGTATGGAGTCGCAACAGTTCATCCAACTATAAATAAATAAATAAATAGTTTATTCTCAAAGTAATAGAGGCACACCAAATCAGGCATGATCAAGGTTTATAGGCCATTGTGTATCACACGATACTTCGGGTTCAATCGTGCGTAATTGAAATGTGCATGG